GAGCTGGAACATCCTGCTGGGGCTCACCGCCCACCGCCTCCCGCCACCGTGCCAAGCTGTGCCGTGTCCCTGTGCCAGCCTCGGGGCTGCAGCACGGGGAGCACAGGGTGCTGGCTGGGAGGGGAGCAAGCGGGGTGGGAAGGGTCTCACCCCATTCACCCCAAATCAAGAGCTCCAAGCCCTTTGGCTGGAGCCGGAAGACAAATTTAAAACTGCTTGGCCTTTGCCAGTGCATCCTGCTCCACTAATACTGGCTGGGGACTGAGCATCCCCAGATGGCTCGGAGCGAGTGGGCTGGTGCAGCCCTTCGTGTCTCCACTGGTACCTCTTGCTAAGCAGCAGCTGGGGGAGGCCTTCCATCCTGCTCCCCCTTAGCACCATGGAGGGTCCTCCCCTGCCAGTGCTAGGGCTGCCGGGAAAAGCTGGACCTCAGCCCTGCCCTGTCACCCCCCGGCCAGGCTTAAGTACTCCCCAGCCTCCTGCCCCACTGCGGGGCAGGCAGCAGCATCAGGCTGTGCCCACACTGCTTGTGGCTGTGCCCAGCTTTGCAGGCCATTCCTGGCCACCCAAAAGGGCACCCAGAGCCCCCAGTGGGGCCACAGGGTGGAGGGGTGCACGGAGGGGAGCATACCAGCTCACCACCTGCACAGCCCCGGGGTACCGTGCATATGTTCATGCCCACGTACACCACATGTGCGCCCATACTGTGTCTGCGAGGGACACACACGTGTGCACACGTGTGCTCTAAGTGCTTGTGTCTTGTGCCGTGAGATCCCATTGCCTGTGCAAACAACATGCTTGCCCCCCACCTCCCTGTGCCGACTCAGTGCCTGGCACCACCCCTGGGCGTGTCCACCTGTGAGACCCATTTGGCTCTGAGCCACAGCGGATGCCCACCCAGGCTGGGGGTCCCTGCAGTGCCAACCCCTGCCATGATGACCTTGTGCACATACAGGCTGGGATGGCTGCAGGCAGTCTCGGCATGCCCAGCCCTGGTCCCACCCCCTGTCCTCCCCATGGGAAGGTCAGGAGGGTGCCCCATGGCAAGGCAGGCTGCCTGGCTTGGGAAGGGGGGGTGGGAGCCAGGGAGCATCCTGC